ACTTTTAAGGACTTTATTTAGATGGATTATTGCAAAGAGGGGGACTATTGCTATAGGAGGAGGACTATTGCAATAGGGAGAGCATTCTGAGTATAAGATCTGCAAACATCTCAGGATTTAGGCAAAAGAGTTTTTCTTTTATAGGGAGAAGAAAACGAAGCTAGCAAGAACAGGGTGTGGGGAAATGGTGAACAGGAGTGGCATGATGGGATAGCACATCAGAGAAAGTTCTACCCTGAGGCCAGCCTCTTCTGTGGAAAGCCTATTAAGGAATGGCTATATGCTGGCTCAGGATGAGGGTAGGTCAAAGTTGGGGGCCTGAAGGAAGAAGAGAATCTTACCGAAATTATGGCTAATAAGCATTTTGTTCTGGCTGATCAGTGGGGACAGCAGTTCAGCTAATCATTTATGAAGCAAAAATAGGAATTTGGAGGGTCTGTGTCTGGCCTTGTCATAGGTAAACAAAGGAACATCCATGAGTTTTATCCAAATTATAAGGGGAAGGGTGGATTTTTTACAGTAAGCTGTTGCCTGGAACAATAAAGGAGGGGGGAGTTTCTTAAATTTGCTGTTTTCTAGGATCACAGAGCTTGGGTAAACATTGTAAGGGATATGGGAATAAAAAACCAGTGAGGACTCTCTAATGAATGAGATGTGCATGAGAGGAGTTTCATTTAGTCAGGATGTGAAGATTTTGAAAAAGAATTGCACTAATAATAATAGTAGCTTTCTGAGTGCCAGGCCCTGTTCTAAGCACCTTACATCAGTCAACTCGTTTAAATAATCCTTACAACCATCCAGTGACACAGGTACAATTATTCTCCCATTTTATATACAAGGAATTTGAACTCCTCAGAGGGTAAGTAACTTTGTCACACTGGTAGTAAGACGTACAACTGGGGCTGTAAGTCATAAAGCCCATGTCTCCCAGTAACTGGCCCAACCTCTTTTCATTCCTTCAAACTGTTCCTTTAACCCAGGGAGATAGGGGGCTTAAAACTGCTGGAACAAGGGAGAGGGGACATACAGTGATTTTCCACTTTCCAAAAACAATCAACTCAATGAATACGTATGAGAGAAGTTGTGGGACACAGAAGAAAGAAGAACACAGAAAACTAGAAAATCTGAGTTTGGCTGTGGTGCACTGGACAAAAGAAAATGACAGTTAACAGGGAAGGTTCTGGATGCAGAGAATAAAAACCAAAAACCTCAACCAGTCAGGGCAGAAGGGGGGCCCACTGCTTTGTGTGGGAATGGGGCAACTTAATATTGTCATCTTTATAGGCCCAGGTTTCCAGGCTTCGTTCCTCCATGAATGAGATTATGGCAGCCCTTAATATATGAGCGGTAGGTGGGAAATGCCTGCCACTTTAGTCCTTAAGAGCATCCCTGAGTTACAGTCAGCCATCCCCACTAGTATGATTTAGCCTTCTATAGTTAAGGACAATTACTGAATCCAACAGGCATTCACCTCTCCTTCCTTAACCAGCTACATTTATATTTATTTCTGCTGTTCACAGCCACCATTGTTTTTCCTGATGATTATCTTGTGATTCAGTACATTCAGTCTAATGAGCCAGAGTGTACATAATACATGTGAAAATTTTACTGAAAATTTTACTGAAAATATTGTTACCTATTTGACATGTAAAGAATTGAACTAAGTTCATCTAGAGAGCATAGTTTATGTAGCAATGCTGATTGCTACAACCAACAGAGATTTTATTGGAAATGTAAAGCAGTTAAACTCTCTTGAGGCCATTCTGTGCCTCTGGACCAATGGTAAGCATATTCACATCCTTACCTCTTTTCATCTTCCCAGGAACCTATTAGTGGGGGATATGGTTTCTACTTTATGGATGAACAAATTGAAGTTAACAGAATTTAATCACTATGCCCAAGAGTTTGTACTTTAATCCTTAAAGTCCAGTTTTGGACCCAAACCTCCTTGATTTTAAAAATCTCCTAAACCTTTCCACTCTGAATTAGTCACTCACATTTTCAAGGCTGATCAATAACAGCTCTGCTACCTAATAGCTATGTGACCTTGGGGAAATTATTTAACTATGCTTTGACTTTGTTTCTTAATCTGAAAAGCGAGGGCAATCATATCTTCATCATAGGATCATTGTGAAGATTAAATCAATTAATATGTGTAAGGTATTTAAAAGACCTACATAGCCACTATTTTTTATGTTAGCTGTGGTTATTAAAGATAACGATTGAGATGACAATGAAACCATGCTCTCTTTCTTAAAAACTCAAAACAAATAGCCAAACTCAGTATCTCAGTATGGCTTTGTGTGCTCCAGCAGTAGGATTGGTTACATATGTGTATATATTCTTTGTCCTGCCATACTCTTCTAGGAGTTTAATCTAAGTATAACTACAGAGAACTAGGAACATTAGTGTACTCAAAATTGAATTCACATATAATTTTGGAAAACATCAATTGGGAAAACTCTTTTGTGTCTATCTTTAAACTTATCTGAGTTCCTAAAATAAAATTTGTATTTGATATAAGAGGACAGGATGGCATCTTTGACAACTGGGTTTTGGGAAACTTAAAAAAAAAAAAAAAAACAGGATTAAAAGAGCCAACATAATATTGAGGAGGAAGAACAAAACTAAAGGACTGATACTATAGGACTTCAGTATTTACTATAAACTACAGTAATCAAGACACTGGTGAAAGAACAAATAGATGAATGGAACAGAATAGAGATCCCAGAAATAGACCCAGATAAATAGAGTCAACTGATCTTTGACAAAAGAACAAAAGCCTATACAATGGAATAAAGTTAGTCCTCTCAACAGATGGTGTTGGAACAACTAGACATCCATAGGCAAAGATGAATCTAGACATAAAACTTAAATCCTTCACAAAAATTAACTCAAAATGTATCACAAGCATGTATGTAAAATGCAAAACTGTAAAACTCCTAGAGAATAACATTGGAGAAAACCTAGATGACCTTGGATTTGGTGATGACTTTTCAGCTAAAACACCAAAGGTATGATCCATGAAAACAAAGAATTGATAAGCTAGACATCATTAAAACTAAAAATTCTCCTCTGAGAAGAGTAATGTCAAGAGAATAAGAGGACGAGTCATAAATTAGGGGAAAATATTTGCAAAAGATATATCTAACAAAGAAATGTTATCTGAAATATACAAAGAACTCCTAAAACTAAACAATAAGAAAACAAACAACCTGATTAAAAATGGGCCCAAGATTTTAATAGACATCTCACCAGAGAAGATGTACAGATGGCAAATAAGCATATGAAAAGATGTACCACATAAAAGTCATCAGAGAAATGCAAATTAAAAAGGATAGTGAGATACCACTACATATTTATCAGAATGGCCAAAATCTGGAACACTAACACCAGGTGCTGGCGAGGGTGTGGAGGCACTGGAATTCTCACTGATTGCTGGTAGGATCAAATGCAAAATGGTAGAGGCACTTTGGAAGACAATTGATGATTTCTTATAAAACTAAACATACTTTTACCATATGACCCAGCAATTGTGCTCCCTAGTATTTACCCAGAGGAGTTGAAAACTTTTGTCCGCATAAAAACCTGTACACAGATATTATACCAGCCTTATTCATAATTGCCAAAAATCAGAAGCAACCAAGACATCCTTCAGTAGGTGAATGGATAAATAAACTGTGGTACAGTCAGACAATGGGATATTATTCAGTTCTAGAAAGAAATGATCTATCAAGCCACAAAAAGACATGGAGGAAACTGAAATGCATATCAGTAAGTGAAAGAAGCCAGTCTGAAAAGGCTAAATACTGTATGATTCCATCTATATGACATTTTGGAAAAGGCAAAACTATGAAGACAGAAAAAAACAGCGGTTGCCAGGATTAAGGGTGGGGGAATGAGAGATGAATAGACAGAGCACAGGAGTTTTAGGACAGTGAATATACTCTGTATGATACTATGTCATACATTTTCCAAACTCAGAATGTATTAACACCAAGTGAACCCTAAGGTACACTATGGACTTTGGGTGATTGTGATGTGTCAGTGTAGATTCATCAACTGTAACAAGTATGCAACTCTTGTGGGGGATGTTGATGATGGTGGGGGGGGTAGTCTGTGCATGTAGTGGGGAGGGAGATATAGGGAATCTCTGTACCTTCCCCGCAGTTTTGTTGTGAACCTAAAACTACTCTTAAAAAATACTCTTTTATAACAAAATAAATAAAGAATTTGCATATCATTGCCCTTGTATGAAGAATCAGGATTACTAAAATGTAAGAAACATTTCCTCATATTTCCCATTTGTATGGAACATGAAGATGTTATCACTGCCTTGACTCACTTGCTCCCTATGGTGGTTGGGCTCCATGGAGCCTGAGCGGAGCCTGAGTTTTCTTGTCTAAAATATATGTTGATAGGTGTGAACTGGGATCAGAGATCCAAGAGGTCAACAAAGAATTAATAGGGAAAGGACTAAGGTACAAAAATAAGGTCCTTTCCTAGAAATTCAAGTCTAGAATGAAGTAAAATTTATTGGAGGTTGTGGTGTGTCTGAGTATTGGCAGTAGTGCTCACTTCCCTCAGGGCAGGCTTTAAGTAGGCCTTGGAGTTTGTGACAGTTTTATGCTCTGGGAAGTATGTGTTTGTAGATGATTCAAGCTGAGTTTAAAGGTTTGCAGCAGGGATTGCATAAAATATTGTGAAAATTGTATTGAAAATGATCTTAAATATTTTATTTTATTTTATTCTAAGTTCAGTTCAAGTGTAGAAATCTTCATAGTTATAAAGGTCTATAGTGAAACCTTTTTATCACTGCTCAGAACTGATTAGTCTATCATACACACACATATCCTCCCATATCATTTGTCCATCAGCAAGTCCTCAGTTATCCAGTGTCAATTTTATAAATACACATGCATATACATACACACTCACACTCACACTCATGCATTCAGAATCCCAGACATAAGCCTTTATTGTTTTAAATTACTTTTACTTCTCAGAACGATGAAGATCATGCATCAGGTAGCCTGGCAGGTGTTTTGATGCTCAGAGTTGGCTATTTTCATCATTGATCTAAGTTGGTAAGAAACAGATCTCAGAGAATTAAACATTTTAAATCTGGAAGACTAAACTAAATTCATTTAGAAGTTCCACTATGTCCTCTATGTAGCTATGACTTTCATCTCTTGCTGCCTTGAAGCTGAGCATAGAAGAGCAAATAGTGGCCTCTCTCCAGGCCAAACAGACTAGAAAAATGATCACACAAACAACTACTGATTTTTGCTTTGTTGAAAGGAAAATATTTCCATTCTAGACCACAAAAATGAGTAAAAATAATCTAAGACTCTTTAAGGACTATACTGATTTCTTCTGTATTTCTGAAACAAAGAAATAGTTAAGATACAATTTACACAACCCCAGGCCTGAAGAAACTGGGTCCTATGTACTAACATCAGGGCATCTTTCTGCTGCCACCTCTCCTGCCTCAAAACTATTCTCCACATTGTGAAAACCATATGCTTAAAAACCATCAGTAACTCACTCCACATTACTCAAAGGATAAAGTCCCAAATCCTTAGTTGGTTTTTGTCAACCCAGCAATCATTAGTCCTCACTTACCTCACACTCCTCCCCCCACCATCATCCATCTGTTTGCTGTATTCTGCTTTATCGTCCAGCCAAACTAAATTTTCTTGATCATACACCAAGGAGTATTCCTTCTGCCCAGATCACTGTCCACCCTCACCATAGACATTCACTTGATCAACTTCAGTGCATTCTTCAGGTCTAATGTATACCTTCCAGGTGAAGTCTTTCTTTAGTCCTCAAAATAAGTGGCTCCCCTTTTTGTGTTCTCATAGTGTCAAGGCACGTCTGTTTCACACACTTTTATAGTTATATATTTAAAGTAGTGTTTCTCAGATGTTCGGTGTGCATAGGAATTAAAAGGAAATCTTGTAAAAATGCAAATTCTGAGTCAGGGTGATGCCAGTGCTGCAGTCCCCAAAGCATGTGCCGAGTAGCAAGGACATAGAGTCTGTGTGCCTCCGTGGACCTGAGGACAGGATCCGCAGAGCCTGACACACAGCAGGCCCTGAATTCACAGCCACTGAATGAATTTCAAAAGCGATAGAATCTTGACAATATAACATTTTCATTTTAAAATACAAGCAGTGCTTACAAATAACCACTTGAGAAGAACTTTGTTAACTTCCTTCCCTCCTTCTGTATCTTGGTATTTCCATCTGTTCTTTCTGTCTCTTTGCCTCAAAGTTCACTGGTATCTGGAATTTCTACCCAATCCCTTCCTTTTCCTCTATTCCTTTTACACCCTGGAGGCATTTTCAATGATAGCACTTCTGAAAATAAAAAGCAAAGGAAGCCAGGGAAGAGAGATGAAGAAAAATGAACCTCTTTTCTCTTCTTCAGCTATCAGTTGAGTTACTTTCTTGTTTCTCCAAATCTAACCTCTTTGGACCTAATCAGACTATTTATCAAAGAATCCCAAACACATCCCTAGACTCCACTTTAGTGTTGTAATGCTCAAAACTATTGTCTGTATGTTCCTCAGAAATGGAAATGAACCTTGTATCAGTCATTTATTTACACAAAGACTTGTCTTTTAACATCTAAGTAAAGATTTGACTGTTTTTTAAGCCATAGCTTTAAATGCTTATTTGCCTAGGGCTTGGGGAGAGATACACGTAGTCATTTTGTTCCAAATATTTGTAGTTGGATATATTGCGAACATGGAATAGTGAAAATACCACAAGCTCCCTGTGGTCCCCTTACCACCCATATGCCCAGCCCTTGTCTCAGATACGAAAAATAAGAAATGTTAGAGAGCAGTCACTGTAGCAAAGGACGAAAGTGGTGAGAACATTTTATGAGATAATAATTCTCCTACCAGGTGGACAGCCTTTAAGGAGTACAGGCACTGCTCTTCTCCATTAGGGGTAGATATGTTTCCAAGCAGACAAAAACCATCAAGGAAAACATTGTTTTGGGGAGATAATGTGTACTCAGAAACCTCAGACACCTGTGATTTTAGGAAACCACAGATTGACTTTTCTACTAGGACATACAAATCTTTGTTAGGCTTTAAGTGTATTTAATGTCCAAAGGAACAATTTATGGAAGGGTGATTGGTCTGGATTTCTATATTAAATTTATGGTATGACTTACAGAATGCTTGCTCGCTTGCTCTCTCTGTGTGTATACACACACACACACACACACACACACAGAGATATATATATATATAGATATATATATATATAGTGTTCTGTATCTACATGATAAGTAAAATGTGTATTTGTATATCTAATTCATACCTTCCACATTTGCATCTCGTGTATGTATATGTATATGTATATACTCTATAATTTCATTTCTTGACAGCTAAGGCTTGAAAGAGATCAGAGGGGAAACTCTTGGTAAATGTGTAGATTTGCACACTAGCCAGATGTTAGACATATAAATTTTATACTAAAAATGCCATCCCCAAATATCAAGAAAATAGAACAACTATACTAGGGTATGGATTCTAGCAAATTAAAAGAAATATCTGCATGATCTATGTTTCTAATTATCTGACAGAGTGCTGTTAATAACTTTTCTGGAAGCCACAAACACAGCAGGAGCACTTAGTTATGATGCAGTCTTAAAATACACCACAATGCACTTTATCTGTGGCCTTCAAGATCACATTGGCAGCAGAGCCTGCCATAATGAACTGTCCTGAAGCCTTGAGATGCTGTTTTCAGCAATTTTGCATTTGAGTATTCAGATTTTACAGTGTGTGAAGTCTGACTGAATGTGCTTCACCACTGTAACTTCAAAATATTCACATTTTCCTTTTCTCAATTTAAGGCCATGTTGATAAAAAAAAAAAGCATATAGAATATTGCAAATAAATAGCTATAGTGAGCTAAGAACTAGATAGAACCCCAAGATTTTTCAAGATATGCTAATGATTATTTTGTCCAGTAGATTTAATTTTGCTGCAGGACACACATAAAAAAAAGGTACTTCACACTCCCCATGGTTCTCAGTGGTGAACATACCAGCCCATAATTACCAGCACACAATTATTCAGTTATCTGCTTGCAATCAAGAAAATATCATTCCTTGTCTTTTGATATTTTGTTTCACATCATGAAAGCATATGTCTAAAGCATTAATAAAATTATAAATTACACATTAGATGATCAAATAGGAGAAAATCTCTTCAACACTCACATTCTCTGCAATTTTCTTCTACAAATGTTACACCACTTTTGCTACTTTTATCTTAATTACAAAGAGTAGTTGGGGCACCTGGGTGGCTCAGTCAGTTAAGCATCTGACTTTTGGTTTCAGCTCAGGTCATGATCTCAGGGTCATGAGATCAAGCCCCAAGTCGGGCTCCCTGCTCAGTGTGGAACCTGCTTGAAATTCTCACTCCCTTTCCCTCTGCACCCACTCCCCGCCACACTCTCTCTCCCTCTTCAAAAAAATAAAAAATAAAAAAAAAAAATGAAAGAGTAGCACAGCGTTTGATGGATAAGGAAAGAGAAGAAAAGGAAAAGTTAAGTCTTCCTAATAAGGAATATTATGCTGAATACTAACTACCACAACAAGTCATCAGTCGTGGAAATTAGAAGGAGCCCCCTTAAATGTGCATATGCTGTTTTTTAAGGTTTAAAATATTTTACTTCCAATTTTAATTCACCAATATCCATTGTCACTTTCTAAAAATTATAGAGTTTTTTACCCCTCAGGTTATATATATATATAACGAGAACTTAACTGCTCTTTTTGGAGTCACTCTGGGGTGTTGCATTAATTTTAGCTGTAGGATAACAATAAAAAGTAATTTTAGAAAACCACAAGGTAACTTAGGGGCCTCATAAATGAAAGCACTTTTCAGAATGCTTATTGATGAAGACAGCCTTAATGTTCCCTCAGCTTGGTTAACTTTAGACAGATTTCTTCATCGTTATAGGCCCCTCACCTCCGTGTTCTTAGAGCTTTAACTTTAGAAAATTTGAAGTTTTCAATTCTTTCCTGCCCCTCTGAGGTATATAAATCATCTCCCAGGCTCTTGCCAGTTTTACGTCTCAGAGGTGTCTTTCTCAAAGACTTGGGAGCCTTCTCTTTGATATGTAATCATCAAGGAAACTAAGGTGCCCTCTTTCTAGTCTCTTTGTGGGAGTAGGAGTCTAACTTTGATAGATAAGTGTGTCAATTAGCAAACGCACATAGCCTAATCCCATTGACCATTCCCCTGCCCCAATGTCCTCCAGTACTTTTCTACTAGCTCATCCCAGTGCTTAAAATCTCTCTCACCTTTTGTTTTGGTGGAGTTGAGTTCTGTCTCTCTCCCCTAATGCAGTTGCCTTTCATAAATTCTTCCTTGCCTGTTTAATTCTGCCTGGTACAGTTTTTCTAGGACATCATTTAGACCTCAAGTTTACGGAAAAGGAATCTGGATCAATGTAAATAGATTTTTTTTTTTAAGATTTTATTTATTTATTTGAGAGAGAGAATGAGATAGAGAGCATGAGAGGGAGGAGGATCAGAGGGAGAAGCAGACTCGCTGCCGAGCAGGGAGCCCGATGCAGGACTCGATCCCAGGACTCCAGGATCATGACCTGAGCCGAAGGCAGTCAGTCGCTCAACCAACTGAGCCACCCAGGCGCCCCTCAATGTAAATAGATTTTTAAAGGATTTTAATGAATATTCTAAGACATAGAAATACCTTATCTACCTGCAAAGGTCTTACCTTTTTAAGCCATACTACATTTTTGCCTACTTTTATCATTCATGGTGAAATTTTTTTTTTTTTCAGAGACAGGTTTTTATTTAACATTTATTGTAATGGGGTCCACGCAAAAGGAGGGGGTGAAGGGTGGGGAACATGCAGGGGACACAGGAACACGATGACGTGGCCAGGGCCACAGCTTCGGGGCTGGGAGGGAAGTGGCTGAGAGCTCACGGGCACCCCCTCGGCCCCCGAGAGGGAGCCCACAGCTGTGGGGGGGGCTGTCACCACTGCCGCCGCCACCGCCATAGGACAGACCTCACCGGTAC